TTAACTCTGCTGCTCGTCTAGTTGCTCGTGCCCCTTTCTTTTCTCATATATCTCCATATCTTGTTCTCTTGCACTGGCTACCTATAAAATATAGAATAATTTTTAAAATTTGCACGTTCATGTATAAGTCTCAATCTAAATTATTTCCTAAGTACTTATCAGATATATTAATTGAACCTAAACGCCCCGGTTTACGATCGTCTTCTTTTTCTCGCTTTTTCTTAACTCGTGTTAAACACTCTTTTGCCAAATCTGCTTTTGCTTTTTCTGGTCCTTTTCTCTGGAACTCTCTACCTACTTCTCTAACTATTTCTCCATCACTTGCGAAGTTCAGAGCGGATCTCAAGACCCATCTGTTTTCAAAATTCATTGAGGAGCGCTGTTGAACATCGCGGAAATAGCGCTTTATAAGCTAATTGATTGATTGATTGATTGATTGATCATCGTCTTCATCTTGCCGGGAAAATAAACAAGGACGGAGCTATGTATTTTATGTTCGACAGTTGTTAAACATTATCTTAATTATGAACGCTCTTATCAACATCGTCAACAACATCCTCATCATCGTCGTCATCATCGCCAGAATCATTCCAATACATCGCCATAGATCAGGGGTGGGCGAACTTTTTGCTCTGAGGGCCCCATTAAGAAATATTTTACCTTTGAAGGGCTGCATATGTACTTATATAGCAAATTTTGTCGACCCGGGGAGAATTTTTTTAAGATTTGTGGCTCATTTTTTGGTCATAATGTCTGGCTGACAATTTTTTTTGGCGAACAAGGCCTCGCGGGCCTCATAAAACACCATCGCAGGCCGTAGTTTGCCCCCACCCCTGCCATCACATCACCACTACCACCATCGTCATCCTCATCATTTTCCAGTGGTCCCATCTTACAGCAGATACAGTCATTCCAGTGGCGAGATTGAAGATTACACCGAAGATGATATGAACAACGGAAAGACCAACCATGTCTATAAATACTACAAAGTCAATTTTTTGAATTTTTCATTGCGATGATAAAATCATTTATTACGTAAATTATTTATTAGATAATTAATTAATTATTTATTTAATAACCTAATTAATTAATTAGGTGATTAATTTTCACCTATGTAATAAATATCGCTGATAGATTGAACATCAAGTTTTTTCTAACAACTTTAAAACTAATCTGTTACTACACTGTCATATTCAGCATCTTCATTTTTTTCATTATAATCCATTATAACCGTCATCAATTCCCTCTTAAGGTTTTGTTCCAGGGAAAAGTGACTTAAGCCAAAAAAAAATAATAATATTAATAAATAACAATAATAATAATAATAAATAACAACAATAATAACAATAATGAACAATACCAACATTAACAAATAATGAATAACACTTTAATGCTCCTAACTACCAACACTGATGTTATAACTTCAATGATCTCTATATTTCCAACTCACCAGTGTTGTAGCTCCCAAACGATCGTCAAGTGTTTGTTATTTCCGTAGGTTCAAGATTTTCGATAGATGAACAAAACTGCTTCAAACGCAAACTTGGTTGAAGGTTTATTTGCAGACCGACAGTAATAGAAACATCAAACTAATCCAAGTAACTACATAAATCACATTTGCGTCTTAGCTTCAAACCTCGCTACTAACTTCACTATTTGCAGCAACTTATATAGCCTATATAGTAGATTTTCAAAACCCCCAATGGTATGAGAAGATTCTATGGTTAACAATTAATGACAAAGATAACAAATCTAACAAGATAACAATAATATAGCGCAGTTTGACCATTGCAGGGGTTATTATACAATAGCGACAAAAATAATTTCAAAGAAAATAGCCAGGACCGACACAGTTTTTTTTGGCTGTAAATATTTTATTTTCTCGTTAATCACAACAAATGAAAAATAATATAAAGAATAACAATCATTATTATCATTAATATTATTATAAATAATAATTAGGTAACAATTGTTATTTCATCGTGTATGTGTGTGTGTATGTGTGTGTATCACGTTAAGATTTTTAACTTCAAAAAGTTCGATGTTAACTCAGATTTGCTCTTTTGTTAAAAATGAAAAAAACATTTGGTTAGTTAAAAACAGAATAAAAATCATATTATATCATTTATTAGTATATTTATTTATTTCTTTATTTATTAGAAATTATAATGAATAAAATTAATTATTAGATTAATTATTTTATGAATTTAAAATGTTATTTTTTTTTCTTGAAACAATAAAAACTAAAAAAAGTAAAAGGATTGCTTGAAATTTGTAGCCATTTAACAACAATAACCATATTCGTCCCATCATTCCATTCAATCAATCACTCACATTGATCTATCCATCCGTCCGTCCGTCCGTCCGTCCATCCATCCATCCATCCATCCATCCATCCATCCATTCATTCATTCATTCTTTTTAACCGACTATCAATCCCTCCTTATATATTTTTCCACTAAATCCCAAAACCAACATCCAAATGAAATAGTATGCTATGCAGTAACGAAAATAAATTTCTTTTCAGAAATTTCACAAAAATTTCCTTAAAAAGTATTAAAAAAAACAATAAAAAGAAGAAAGATAAGGCAAATTCGTGCAAACACAAAATAAATACATTAACAACAAAATATATACATTATTATAACAATTAGAAAATAAGCAAACCAAAAATAAAACAATCACATATCTCAACAAGGTAAACAAGAACGATATAGTATACGGGTTATATAAATATTTTTTGATATACATGCAAATCAGTCGTACGTTCACCTTTTTGTTTATTTTACAAAATAAAATATTTACAACGAGTTAATAAACCGTAAAAATCATCAGCCAATGAGAGAGATAATTCATTAAGACATTCAGACATTCATTCACGACATAATTCATTAAGTCTACTGAAACATTGTGTTAAAAGCGTGTCATATATATATTTAATATATATATATATATATATATATATATATATATATATATATATATATAAATATGATGTGGTTGGTGTTTTTGTTGATGACTGCTGTTATAATTGTTGAGAAGTGTTGTTGTTGCTGTTGTTGTTGCTAGGCAACCAGATAATTCTCTTCTGCTCGCGTTCAATGACCTCCTTCACTTCACAGCAAACACTGACCAGACTGCCACCGTGCACAACCTCTGGCGACGACGACGACGATGATGATGATAAAAATGATGATAACGTTGATAATGATGATGGGAACGAAAAAAAAAAAGGATGGTGATGACGAAAATGATGATGAGAATGACGACATTGTTGGTGAGAAAATGATGAAGTAGACTGTGTCAAAGATTTTGATGAAGAAGATGTTGACGGAGCGATGATGAACTTGCTGGTAATGAATGACGCTGAAGACAATAGTCAAGGAGATGGTGAAGATGATAATTAGTAATAATTAATTATTAATTAATATTAATTAACTATTAATTAATATTTATTAATAATAACCATTAAATAGATGAAAAAAACTCTTCTCCACTTCTTGAAAACTATCGAACAATCTCTTCGACTGCTTCGTTGATACCCTATCTGGCAGGAAGAGAGAGTCTTTCACCTCTCTGGAGATAGATTAAGTGAATAAATGAATGATTTAATTAATTAATAAATTAATTAATTATGAAAAGACGAATAAATAAATAAATGGACAGATGCATGAATGAATTGAAGGAAAAATAAAGTTGATGGATTGATGAACGAATGAACAAATAAAAAACGCTCACAGAGAAAATGGACAATTAAATAAACAAACTGAAAATTTTTTTATAAATGAGCAAATCTAACCAACCACCTAACAAATCAACCTATTATTCAATCAATCAATCAATCAATCAATCAATCAATCAATCAATCAATCAATCAATCAATCAATCAATCAATCAATCAATCAATCAATCAATCAATCAATCAATCAATCAATCAATCAATCAATCAATCAATCAATCAATCAATCAATCAATCAATCAATCAATCAACCAACCAACCAAAGAACTAATGAAGCTTACTTTATCTGTTTGAACGACCTAAACTTGATAAAGATGACAATCACTTGTATGTTGTGTTCATTCAGTTTACTCACCACATCCAAAGGCACATTTAATAGGCAATGACATTTCTTTTGGTAAAATTATCATGATAGTTGACATCATCATCGTCGTCGTCGTCATTAATTATCAAAACCGTCATCATCGTCATCACGATCATTATTAATATCATTATTATCAGCTAGTACCCTATCATATCATCATTATTATCACCTAGTATCATATCATATTATCATGATACCACCTAGCATCATATCATGTTATCAAATCACGTAGTATCATTGCATCATAAACCTCGCAATCATCATCGTCATCATTTAGAGTAAACATCATCATGACAGACATCATTATCAACAAAAGAACTTAGCCCTACAAACTTTTTTCATTAAACTTTTCAACGAATTTACAGGAATATAATGAACCGGTACGTTACTACAATTTTCATCATTATTATTATTCTTATTAGTAGAAGTAGTAGTATTGTTATTGTTATTATTATTATTGTTGTTGTTCACGCTGTGTAGTTGAGTCACTTTGTACTCGATTCTTAATGACGGATTATTCATGCCATATTTGCCGTGTTCTGTTTCAGAAAAATATAAATACCTATTAATAAAAATAATAATAACAATTATTATTATTATCATTATTATTATTAATGAGACTAAATTTTAAATAGACCAACTATAACCGACTAACCGGGAATATACTTAGTAAATCGGTCACATGACTCAGAAACTAGCTTGTTAATGACCTGCTCTGAAAATGGGCCAATGATGATGACCGGTCGGTAGAGAGATTCTTAGAAGGGAAGAAAAAGAAGAAGTTGAATGAATGAATGAATGAATGAATGAATGAATGAATGAGTGAATGAATGAATGAATGAATGAATGAATGAATGAATGAATGAATGAATGAATGAATGAATGAATGAATGAATGAATGAATGAATGAATGAATGAATGAATGAATGAATGAATGAATGAATGTGATTATGTAAAATAAAATGAACAAGAAAGAAAGTGGATGGACGACTTACGATCGTACTTCTCAACCCTTTCAAAAACTGGATGCTGATCTGAACATTTAAATTAACATTGATGTGAGCATTAAATTAAATTTCAAAATCAATTAATCAATTAATTTTCCAATAATTCCCATTAAATATTCAACCTTAATAATTTTTATTCCAAAACAAAAAAAATTGGCCGGTAAGACGAACCTTCAACGTAATTCAGTCCAGTAGAAACATCGCCACTGAGAGAGGCGTCGGAGAACGAGCCGTTGGCATCATTGTTGTTGTTGCTGCTACTGCTGTTGCAGTTGCTGTCTTTTGAATTGTTGCGCTGGTGTTTACGACGTTTAAAAAAACTTCGTCGGGTTGATGTCGTCGTGGTTGTTGATGTCGTCGCTGCTGTAGGTGAAGTTGTTGTTGTTGTTGCTGCTGCTGCTGCTGAGTTGCTGCTGTTGTTGTTGGTGGTGGTGCTTTTGTTGTTGAGCTCTTGAATGTCACATAGACTTCTTCTGGATAATTTCATTAAACATTTTAGACTGTTGTCATCATCACATCTCGTCCTGTTCACAAGAAGTTTATAAAACAATGCGACTACTGACTATATCATTAACTTCTGTACGTTTTAATATTTTATTTAAATAACAATAACAAAAACTAATAGAAAAAAGAAACACACACACACGCACACGCACACACTCAAACATAGAGACAAAACCATCCTTTGAACGTAAAAGGAAGCCCCACCTAAATATAGGAAACACCATCTTTCCGTGAACAACTCCATGTTGATTGGAGATAGTACCATCCCTGTTGACGGCATGAGCCAGCCAATCACCAACAACGCTGCAGTAGTAGGTCCTGTTGATGAAAAAGATGTCACCTTTCTTGAACGTTAATTCGATTTTTGAGCCTGCAGCTGATGAGGCCGATGTCGTTGCGGCTGATGTAGTTGGTTGAGGTTGTAGTACGTGTGTAAAATCACACAGGGCCCTCACATAGAATGAATCGTTGTTAGCTTGGGATTTGATCTTTAAAAATTCTGAAAACCAAAAAAAAATAACAATATATTATTTCGATGTTTGAGATTAATTCCTAAAATGTGAATTAAAATATTTGTTATAATACCACTCTAATCATCATCGTCATCATCAAGCCAGAGAATTTCTAACAAGTGACTCACTATCGTAATCATATTTCAGATGAAA